CTGAATTGCCTTGCAAGTGAAGGATGGGATTTCTAAAGCTGAGTAGGAATCAGAGTGACTCACATTGTAGCAGGGGTAGGGAACACTCCTTGGGTCTTTGGGCCAGGTCTTCTGGGACTCAGGAGACAGTTCCAACTAGTGTTGGTGTGGAAGAAGTGCCTGTGCCTCCTCTCTGTCCAAACCTGGCTGATCTTTAATTACAGTCAGAAAAGCTCAAGGTGGCCCAGCTCCGAAGCCATCAGTACTGGGAATGAGCTGCCTAATGGTTGCTCTTCCCTAATCTACTTTCATGGTCGTGCTGTAATGGGTTTTTCACTCTCCATCATAAGACCACGTGGGACCTGTAAGCTTCTTGGGTCAGAGGTCCTCTGGTTTCTAGACATGTCCCCCGCAAGTCCTCTGTTCTCCTGGCATCCCCATTGATTGCTTTCTGGTGGCCATTGCTGCCTCTTGTTTTGCAGCCAGCTGGCGGCAGGGCTGTCTGCAGACGCGTGGCACTGCGGGAGATCCAAGGTCCTGGTGGGCAGATCTGCCTGCACCACTGACCTCATCACTAAAGCGAGCAACACTGCTTCATGATTTTCTCTGTGCCCCTTGCTTAAACATGGAATGGCTTGTTCTTTGGGGGGCTTCTTCCACTAATTCTGCCTTGAAGAGAAGCGTTCTGAGAGAGGTCCTGGTATCTCAATAGTTAGATGTCTCTGACTCAGTCATAGCCCTTTTATCCCCAGGGATATGATCAGAAGGGGGCCCCAATGCCCCCTTTCCTTGTGCGAGGATCTGATCTTAAGATGTCTCATCTAGACAGTGCTGTTTCTTCCTACTTTTTACTAAGAAAGGGAAAGACCTTGTGGAGCAGTGCTTGGGTGGAGTGGGCTCTTCAGAGAAACATCCAGAGTGTAGCTGAGGGGGGACTTCCCTGAAGTGAGGACAGAGGAGAGGAGGGGGCAGAGGGATTCTGGCAAAGGCATTTAAAAAATTAAATCTTTCTGCTAGGTGCACACTGGCCCCTCATGAAGGCAAGAAAGCATGTGCTTTTTAGAGATGTCTTTTTAAGAAGCCCAGGGCACACTGTATGGAGCAGAGGCAATTTCTTCCTAATTAGAAAGAACGCCTTCCCACCTCTCCCTCTCCAGGCTTATTTACTCTCTGGTGGCAAGAACAAGAGCCTCCCTGCCATGAAAACAGTGCTGTTTCCATAATTGAGGCAAGACACTTAAAAACAAGGACTGTCCTTGTGCAGTGGGAGGAGGGAGGCAGCGAGACAGAGTTTGGTGTTGCACAGCCTGGCCATTCCTGTGTTTACAAGCGAATGGTATGTGAGCAGGCCCTTGCTCCAGTCGTAAACCTGGCTGGAGAGTCAGCAGGCTTTCCTGGGCTTTGCCTTATCTAGTTCCTCCGAGAGAACTGTCTCCTCTTACGGCTGTAGGTAAACAGGGTGGGAAATGCAATTTCTGTGGGGAGCAGGGAGCTCGTGTGTGTTCTCTGCAGACAGATGTGGTCATTTTTATTACCGTTTAGGTGTTTTTCCACAGGGACTTCTGTCACAAGGTTATCTGGGTCTCTGCGAGAGTGTGTGAGTGCTATATGTCTCCAGTAATTTTCTCTTTTTGTTTTGGTATGCCCAAAAAAAGCAGTGCTCATGCTTGTGCTGAGAGGGTGGATCCTACACAGTGATGGGGCCTCAAAACAGCCTTGGAGGAAATCAAGTGCTTGTGCAAACGAGGGCTACAAAGAAAGATCTAAATAATGGCCTTTTCAAGGCACAGCTGTATCCAAAGGCAGCTGCTACTCCTTGCCAATTGCAACTCATAGTTTAAGACTTTCTCCTCTGTGTGTGTGTATGTTTTCCTGTTAGGTAACCGCTGGAGTTACTTTCAGGGTCCTGGCTCTTTCAGGTGGGTCATTGCTGACCATCAGTTTAAAATGGGACTGTGAATAGGTAATTAGTTTGTGCCTCATTAATATAGGTGGCCAGTCCAAATTGCAGACGAGGCCAGTTTATCTACAACCTGCGTTCTCTTCTGTTCAAACAATGCTAACTTTTAAATCTGGCCTTGTTGCTGGTGGAAGTGGTTTTGTGCATGTTCTCCCAACCCTCCAGACCTCCCTATGTAAATGGGACTGACAAAATGCTCTGAACAAATAAAGCAGCGCGTAACGTAGCCCATGATGCAAGAGCCGAGCGTCTGTGCTAACGAGGCGTTGGAAGCTGTCCCAGCTCTCTCCCCTGCCCACCGCCACTGGCCCTGAGTCTCCTGTCGTGAGGGGTAGGATGTTAACACGGATTACCCTCCAGCTGTTAGGAGCGCAGAATTATTATGCCTGCGTCATGTTTGTTCATACAGCACCAAAGTCTGTCTCCCCAGCAGACAAGCATTTGGATGTTGACAGATTCTTATTTTGCTCCGTTAATCCTTTGTTGCACCCAGCTATGTAGTTTCCAGGCCACCTTACAGCCCTGTATCCAGCCCTGCAGGTAAATGTCAGTCCAAGCAGTGTGTGATCCTGAAGAAGAAAACCTTGGGTTTTGCCCTGACAAAGCTGTACAGAAACACTGATGAGCTTCTCTGCCAATTTATCTGAATGAGTGTCTGCTACTTCACAGATGCTTTTGATTCCTTTTAAATTCAGCTGGCTTTTATTTTGATGTATGCTGCCAGTTACAGACCCTTAAGAAAGGATATTGATGGCTCCCAAAAATGTGTTTTAGATGTAATCCTAGAATCACCAGAGAATGGAGGGCAGAGCTGTAGTGAGAAAAAGGCTTTGAGCTCCAGCCTGGCATGCCAACAAAGTTAATTGCGGAGTGAAGCAGTAGCTGAATAGATGTTTTCAGATTGTGGCTGACACGGTTGGGTACTGATGGCATTTTCTGGACCTGACTCAGAGAGGTCAAATTCTTACCAGGTCTGAGATACTTTGCAGTTCTAGTTCATTACAGGTATAGGAGGAGAGGATGGTGTAAAAACAGCTTGTCAGGGTCTCCAGCAAGTCTCATGGGCTTATGCATGTTGGCAAGTTGCTGACCCATCAGAAAAGATGGCTGACTTCTTGACAATAATTCACCAAGGCTGCATTAAACAGTTTCAAACCAAAGTTTTTATAAGAGTCAGTGTTCTGATGATGTCCTGGAGCTTGCTTGCACTGACAATCACGGGAATTTAGGTGCCGAGGTCAAAAATGAAATGAACCTGTAGAATCAGAGAAGTGGGGTTTGTGTAGGTGGTATGCTCACCTTCAGTTTGTTACATATGTGAAAGGAATTCCTTTGTCTCCTTAGGATCTGTTTAGCCTCGTGTCCGTCAAGGGGGTGGGAATGAGCATAGTAATTCTTACCCAGCTTAATGCAGGGGTGCTGCTGGAATTGGAGTTCAGGATTTTCAGATCCTTCATGCCAAATTGCGCCCCTCATGCTTAGAAAACTAATGCAAGTGTCTAGGAAGTTCCTGCATTTTCTCTGATTGCAGAGATAAAGGAAGCTTCCCCAGTACACGTAGGAGAGTCGTTCTGTAGTGTGAAAGCAGTGCTTGTCCCAGGCAGCCGCTGAGCACTGAGGAGCCTGCATGCCTCCCGAGTAACACCTTTCATCTTTCCAGGTTGACAGGTACCTGTATCACATGCGTCTCTCCGACGATGTCCTGCTGGACGTGATGGCTCGCTTCCAGGCCGAGATGGTGAAGGGCCTGGGGAGAGACACAAACCCCACGGCAACAGTAAAAATGCTGCCGTCATTTGTGCGCTCGCTTCCCGATGGCTCAGGTGAGTTCCCCCTGCTCCATCACAGCAGTGCTGGTTTAGGAAGATGATGGGTTGCTGCCAGTGCTCAAGGGCAGCACAGCAAAGACACAGGGCAGCCAGTGGCTTTGGGTTATTGCCCATCTCATGTTGAGAAAGCAGGCTTGCATTGAGGAGACAACAGCTTGGGGCAGTGCTGGCAGAGGGTTTTTTCCCTGCACCAGGTGGATTTTGACCTAATGCTGCTTGTTTGAGGAAAGGACCTAGTAAGCACTGAGAAAACAGCCTCTTCTGTCTGCAGATGTGGCTGTACCTAGTGCAGGCCTTGCTGCAGGAGCTGTGGCTGGACACAGCAAGGGCAGCCTCTACAGCTCAGACCCTGCAGTGCAGTGTGCTGCAGGTGTGGAGATGTGGGCAATGCTGTGGCCCTGGCATTCATGGAGCTACAGGGAAGGCAGGATGCTGCAGTGAAACCCCTCAAATTGCAAAGTGGCAGCAACTGTTGCGTTCCCAAAGCTGTGATCCCCTCTCGGCTTCTGACAGCAAACTCAACACTGCTTTCTCTATTGCCCCAAAAGGGATCCCCTCCTGCCCTTCCTTCCCTTCTGCATTGGGAAAGTCTGCTTTTGGATGGGGTCTACCAGGAAAGAGTCTGCTCTGCTGCTGCAGCTGGATCCTTGTTTCCAGTTGCCCCTGAGACTTGAGAGGGAGAAAGTGCAGTGGTGTCCGCTGGGAGGATGCGAAGTGAGGTAGGGTCGAAGAGCCTGTCTTGTTTGGAGAAGTGTGCACATCCAAAATAACCCCCCTGGCTCAGCTGGCTCCCAGCAGTGCAGGCTGCAGAAAATGACGTGTTTTCCCAGGTTTAACCAAGCTTCTGAATTTGTGCAGGAGACTGTGTCTGGCCTAGGTCAGGACTCGGTGTATAACAGCTGTTCATGCAGAAAACTTAAGAGAAATGTTTGCTTTGTACCTCATTTCCACAGGACTTTCTTCCTTCTGAAGGTAACTTTCCTACAATTAAATAATAATGGCTTTAATGGCATAAAGGGAGCATTTAGTCCCTTGAAATGAGGGATATCAGAGAGAAATTATGTACAAACCCCTCGGAAACTGCCTGGCTGGAACCGGGCACTCTTCTTTTTGCTGCTACCTTCACCAAAGAAAAAGAAATATTAGCTTAGCCCTTGCTAGCTCTGCGTCTGTCGCTGTTTCTGAGCTCTTATATGGCACTGATCCTGTCCTGAAATTGCGGGGAGCAGCTGAGGTCAGGAGACATGGAAAATTGCATGTAGTGTCATGACTGTTGCAAGACTTCATGTTCCTCGAGACTAACTTTGGGCAATGCTCTCCTGGCCTGCGTGACCTTTCCGCTGTGTCAAGGACATGCTGCAGGATCAAGCTGGGCTATGCCTTATCGTCACACTGCCTATTTTAAGTATCACATTGATTTTTCTGGTTTTGCTCTGTTGCAAAATCTTTATTGGTTGGTGGTTTTTTTTTTTCCCAAACAAAACTTCCAGGAGGTTTTAAAACCTCAAACTTGGCTGGAGTTTCCCATTTGTAATAGCAATGAACTTTCAGACTTTACAGTGCCTGTGTTGTTACCTGTAATGACCCATACGGAGAATCATTCAGTTTTTAATCATTGAGGGATTAATGGTCTGACTGGTGTCACAGTTTACTGAGTTACACAATTTGCCTCTTCACCTTTGTGATAACTGACCATGGTATTACAGGTAGAATTTCCTGCTTCCTTCCTTCCTTTTCAGGGCTGGATTTCGTAAAATTTAGCCAGGTGTTTGGACTGTGGAACAAAGATCACGCAAGGCTACGTACATGCCACTACATTTTCTTTGAGGAAGAGCCTTCTCCTGAGCGTGGGATGAATTGATAATTGCTTTATTGTAGCAGCAAGGCCAAACTGTCCTTCTGCCTGAGGTCTTCTGCTAGAGAAGAATGTGTCTGAGCTAAGACTCCTGCCGACTGAGAAACAGGGTGGTACTTTTACAGAGGCACCTAAAGGCATTTGGAAATGCTTGTGTTGGTTGATTTTGAGTGGCAAATTGGTCTTGCCCCACTTGGAAGTTGGCTTCTGCAGTAGGGCCAAGTCTTAACACGGGGCTGCAAATCCTGCATCCTTTACTGGACGTAGGTAATGCTCTCAAACTCCCCTTTCTCCACGTTTCAGATGTACAGTTTTGCAGCCCCTATGTGCTCTGGTTGGCTTCGCAGTTGCTTTGGGCCTGTTTTACTGAAAAGCTTATCCCTCTGCAGCTTGAAAACATGCTGCTGTGGAAGGAGCAAGGAGGGCAAAACGAGGCTGCTAAATAAAAATGAAACTAGATGCCACATATCAGGTCCCTCCCCTCAGCTTGCTACCCTTGCTCTCAGCCTTCCTGGTGATGCTCCCAGGCCCGTAGAATAAGGACCTGCTGTGATGGGGGCAGGAGAGCCTGTGGCTGCGGTGAGGCAGAGGTCCTGGCATCTGGGCCATGCTTCTTGGCCATCTCCGGTGACGGTTGCCCACTTGTGTTGCAGAGAAGGGTGACTTCCTTGCTGTTGACCTGGGTGGTTCCCAGTTTCGTGCCCACCGGGTGAAGGTGTTTGATGATGGGAAGCAGAGCAGCCAGCTGGAGAGCAAGTTTTACCCCACACCCAAGGAGGTCATACAGGGGAACGGAGCTGAGGTAGGGCACACGGGGTCTTCTGTGGTGGTGCTGTGCTTGAGCGCATGCCTGCTGGACACAGCCTGACTTTGTCTTCTCCCTTCTTGTGCAGCTCTTTGATTACGTTGCTGACTGTCTGTTAGACTTCATGGAGACCAAAAACCTGAAGCATAAGAAGTTACCTCTTGGATTTACATTTTCTTTTCCATGCAAACAGACCAAATTGGAAGAGGTAAGATGCAAAAAGAAATATTGGCAAATAATATTGCTAAATGCAGAGAAGCTATTGCATGGGAGTGTTACCCTGTGGCCTTTTTGAGGGGCCATGTTTACATAGCTCTCTGAAGAAGGCATGAATGACTGTTAGCATTTAACTAGACTCGACTACCATTCAGACACTCATTTCTGATCTCAAGGCAACATCACCTTTAAGCTAAAGCTATTCTTTTACTTATTCAGTAATGATTCCATAGTAACCACGTGCCCTTGTATGAAGACTGTTAGACTGCAAAACGCACACTTTTGTGTCCTGAAGCATGTTTCTTTTTTAATCACTCTCATTCAATTTCTTTTTTACAATTGATTCTAAATAGGAAGGTCCTGTAGCTGAGAGGCCGTATGGGGGAATGAAGGGCTAACTGCAATTATTTTGTGGCCTCTTACTCTAGCTGGGTTGGTTTTTTTTTTTTATTTCTAGGCATCTGTGCTTTGGGTTCTAGTCCTGCAAATGCTTTGTGCTTAATGCTGTTAGTTTGTGATGAATGCCAGTAAAGCCACACATGCTTTAAACAAAGCACAGGGAGACGCATTTGCAGGATTGGGGCTTTATAACTTACCTGTTTAGTTGTGTTTGTACCAATAGGTACCCCGAGGTGAGATGTTCTGCTGTGACTTATTTTGGCTTATTTTAATGCGTGGAGAGACAGAGTGGGCTTCTCCACAGACTTTGGTCTTGGCTGTCTTTGTGGCAGGTTTGTACGCTAAAGTTGGAGCTTTTCGGTCACTGGACTGTTACTTTGCAGGGGATTCTTCTTGCCTGGACGAAACACTTCAAAGTTCGAGGAGTTCAGGACACAGATGTGGTTGGCTCTCTGCGCAAGGCCCTCCAGAAGCATAAGGCAAGTTTTGTACCTGCAGGAGGTGAACCTAAGTGGCTCCAGATTGTCCTTCTGGGAGATCAGCTGTTGATGTGTGGGTTGTTTTGGGAGTTGTCAGACATCCATCAGGGACAGCCAGTAAAAAATGTCCAACATAGATGTATATCTAGTATATAGGGCTCTCCCTTGGAGCTGAAGCTGTGGAAGGGGACATGCAGCTGCAACTCAGGCTGCCCCAGCTCAGTCTAACAGCAATGGCAACTGCACCAGGCTTTTCTGACAAACGATGTTGGATTGGGGAAAAACAGATCCTGCAAGCAAAGATCCTGGCTGTCCAAGCACTTGAGAATTCAGAGATGTTTGTTACTTTACAGGGTTGTGGGGATAGTGTTATAAAAGAAAGTAGTGGGTCTTTCAACTGAAGAGCTTTCCTGAACCAGGCCTTCAAAGTACAACCCGGGGAGTATGTCTGCATGCTGTTGCTTTAACACACAGGAGGCTTTCTGAGCTTTTTTTTTTTCTGTTAATCGCCCATCTTTATGCTGTTAGGACATAGACGTTGATGTTTTGGCACTGGTCAATGACACCGTGGGAACCATGATGACTTGCGGATATGATGACCAGCGCTGTGAAGTTGGACTCATAATTGGTAATTTTTTTCTGTTCGCTAAGTAGATTTTTTTTTTCCCCCTCTCATTTGTTTAATCCTAACAAATCTGGAGTAGAAGGGAGTGTCCCAGTACAGGAAAGAGCAGGAAGAAAACAGAAAAAACAATGGTCAGATTTTCAAGCCTGGCTGCCTTCTGTAAAGCAGCTGGTTTTATGCTGATCACATTGCCATCAAATACCACAGTCCCCATTTTGTCTGGGTTCAGTTGTGACCAGCATACTAAACTTTTCTGCTGACTGTATAGAAAATTACTGTCTGTCTGTCCAGAGAAAGCTGAATTCCACTCACGTCTGGTAGTTAGGATCAGCTATGCTTTCCACAGCATCTCTACTTCATGCACTGTGGTGCCTTTTTTAAGGCGCACAGAAGTACATTTGAAAAAGAAAAAGTGTTTTTAAACAAGTCAAGCTTTAGATTAATTTCCAGTATTTTCCACTCATTGTGAAATGATTATTTAACAAGTGCAGGTGGCTTGATATTAGCATCCTGTACTAGAGGGTTATGTATTTATATATTCTTCCAAAGACGATATACTGACTTATTCCCAAACATGTGGACTTAAACAAAAAGCAGCCCTGGGACAAACAGGTAATTTGTCCGCACTGGCTCCAACATGCACAGGGACTGGCACCAATGCATGCTACATGGAGGAAATGAGGCACATCGATCTGGTGGAAGGTGATGAAGGGAGGATGTGCATTAACACAGAGTGGGGTGCCTTTGGAGATGACGGCGCTTTGGATGACCTCCGCACAGAGTTCGATCGGGAGCTTGATCTGGGATCTCTCAATCCTGGAAAACAATTGTAAGTGATTCCCTGGCTGATTTGCTGTGACAGTCTGAGTTCTCAGAGTGAGTTTCCAGAGTATGCCGGGGTCCCCTTTGGAGCAGAAATTAGGTTGAGTGAGCCTGAATTGACTTAATCCTGGTCCTGTCCTATCCAGACCCTTCCCTTCTGGGAAGGGTGGGTTCCTTTCACACCTCCCTGCCTCACAGGCCAAGGGGTTGCTGCTGCAGTTGCTAATGTGTCATTAAAAATAGGTGGTTCCTCTGTTATGATGCTGTGGAGGGGTACAGGAGGAGGAGGAGGAAGGTAAACAAAGGGCATCTTTAAAGCCTGGTTCATCAAAACTGCTTCTACTGGCTGAGCGGCTCACAAGTCTTTTGAATGTTCCCTTTAATCACTTAGTTATTGTGAGGGGCTGTTGTTGGGTTCCAGGACCTCAGGATGGGATCCCATCTACAACTTAGCTCCCAAACCCCTTTTGTACTTGTTTAAATGCGATCAATCTGCATAAGAACATAAGGTGCTTGAACTTCTCATGGCTCTGGCAAGCTGGTGAACACCTGTAATCCTTCCTGTGCCCCATTCCAGGTTTGAAAAGATGATCAGCAGCCTGTATTTGGGGGAACTTGTAAGACTCATTCTCCTCAAAATGACAAAAGAAGGTCTACTCTTCAATGGAAAAGTGTCAACAGCTCTGCTTACTAAGGGCAAGATCGAAATGAAACACGTGTCTGCAATGGAAAAGTAAGAAACTGTGATACGCTGTTTGAGAGTGGCTGTTGGTCTTTCACAAGCAAAGCAATGATAATTAACGTGTAATTATAATCTGTGAGTACTGGGAACAATCCTGAACTGTTCAGGGTTTTGCTTTTGCCTAGGAGAAAAGTTGATCCTTCTCTAAGTAGGAATTGGTGGAAGGTGAAGTTTTAGTAAAGTTCCACAGTAGCAAATGTATTATTAACCATCACAGATGCATGCGGTTTAAATGACCTCTTTGGAGACCTGAGTGTATGGGATGATTGTTGAGGTTTTGAGCTTCTGTGATGTGGGAATACTGGGGTTGTGGAGATGTAGTACAGGCTCTGGGTCACCTAATGGATGACTATGTGGAAAACTGACAGATTCTGGTGTTTTGAAGAGGAATCCTGGTCCACATTGTTACTCCAGGAATAATTTTCTTTGTCGTATTGAGCGAAGCTGTACATCTATTCCTGTGCTGTCCTTCTGTCACTAAATATTTTATCCTGTTCTCTTCTTGGGCAGCTAATTGGTATGTCTCACCAAAAACTGAACCCCAGGAAGCAGCTTCTTAAAAGTCTGGTCTCTCCCCCAGGTACTTTTGGGAATAGTGCGGGAAAGACATTACTGGTTTATGGGAACCAATTACGATGCTGCCTGTTAGGTTGTGCCCTGGTCTTCTCTCATTTCTTTTTGAGCCAACATGCAGATATTGATTTATGTGCTGCCTTAATATCCTTGCATTAGATGATGTATTATTTTGTGTTGGGGTAGGTATAAAGAAGGTCTGAGCAACACAAAAGAGATCCTTACAGAGCTGAACCTGTTTCCCTCTGAAGAGGACTGCATTGCTGTTCAGCATGTCTGCACCATTGTTTCCTTCCGCTCGGCCAACCTCTGTGCTGCTGCTTTAGCAGCCATACTGACCCGACTGAGAGAGAATAAAAAACTATTAAGGATGCGAACCACTGTTGGGATTGATGGGGGACTCTATAAAACCCACCCCCAGTAAGTAACTACAGGGGATTTGGTAATTGCTGGCCACATGTTAATGTTGCAAAGAGTCTCCATTTGCATACATGTGTGGCATTTCAGAGGACTGCTGGTTCTGCTGCAGGGTTGGGGTGAGATCTGGTGGAGTGCGGCGGATCAGGCTGGCTTAGTTATTGCAAAGCTGTCTCAGGAGCTTTAGAGTGTTGGGTGCGGTGGGAACAACGTGACATGCGGGATAATGGTGTCTGGGGAAGAGTGGTTGATTCCTCAAGTGACTCCTGGGCCTCCAGGGCACTTGCAGTTTACTGTGGATTTTTTCTTTTCTTTCTTTCTCCCCACCATGCCCCCCTCCCCCTGTTCCATTTTTGAACCTGTGCTTTCCCAAACTGGAAACTTTCCCAAACTTTTCTCCCAAACTGGATGGAAGTCTGATTCCAGATGGGAGACTCTCACCCTCTGTCTGTGACTGTGACTCTCCACTGTTGCCTGGCTTTTCTCCAGTGTCCCTCTCCCTTGGCACTGGCACTTGTTTAGAGGTATCTTCACGTTCCTGTAAGAGTACAGGTTCTGCAGAATAGCCGGAAATCAGGATCATTGTACCCACCTCCTAGACCAGTTTCTGACCTTGTTCTCCTCTTGACTGCTTCAGCACTTGTGCTGTTGGATGTGTGCATGTCTTGGAAGTGTATGTGAAGTAAACCATGCATGAAATGCCTGTGAGAGTCTAAAGAGACTCTTTGTTCTTGTAGGTATGCCAAACGTCTGCACAAGGTGGTGAGAAGGCTGGTCCCAAACTGTGATGTTCGGTTCCTCCTCTCTGTGAGTGGCAGTGGGAAGGGGGCTGCCATGGTCACAGCGGTGGCATACAGGCTGGCCGCCCAGCGCAAACAAATCAATGCTGCTCTCGCACCATTTCTGCTGTCCCTGGAGACCCTCAGAGAAGTTAAGAACAAAATGAGGACCGAGCTGGAATATGGGCTAAAGCGAGAGACGCAAGCCAGTGCCACAGTGAAGATGTTACCCACGTATGTCTGTGGGACACCAGATGGAACAGGTGAAGTAATTTCGTGATCACCTGGGGGTGGTGCAGGAAAGTTGCTTGTCTTTTCTGGTGGAAATATGCCAACTATTCTGGCAAATGCTATTGTGATTTATGTTGGCAAAGTGGTGCTTCCTGCAATGTTATCTGGCTGGCCCTTCAGCCCCATGCTAGCAGACTGATGGGATAAATGCCCCAGGGAGCAATGTGTTATCAGTGGCACAGATGAAGTTTCTTGGGGATGTGTTGCAGAGTATGCCATTCTGACTGGCAAACATGCTACTAGAAGCACCAAAATTAAATAAATACCTTTCTTCTCTTACAGAGAAAGGAAAGTTCCTTGCCCTTGACCTTGGTGGGACAAATTTCAGGGTTCTGCTTGTCAAAATCAGAAGCGGGAGAAGAAGATCAGTGCAAATGTATAACAAAATCTTTGCCATTCCTCTGGAGATCATGCAAGGGACGGGGGAAGAGGTAACCTCTAATGAACGTTTCCATCAGTTCTAATGAACTGATCCAGACAAGGCCCATTGCATGGGATTACTGTGAGATTTATATGCTGCTTCTGTCCTTCCAGCTCTTTGACCATATTGTCCAGTGTATAGCAGACTTTCTGGAGTATATGGGGATTAAAGGTGCTCGACTGCCTCTGGGCTTCACCTTCTCCTTCCCATGCAGGCAAGCCAGCATTGACAAGGTAAGAACTGCAACACAGAATGGGTCAGGTGGCAGCTTGGTAAATGACATCAATTTGGGTGAGGGTGACTTGTTGGTTTGGAGATTGCAAACAAAAAGCTATTCTTGTAAATGTTTTCTTCCAAGTAGGACTTTTACAAGGTTGATGATATATATACGCACACACATACATGTGCAAATTAAACTTTGGAGAGAATATTTCACCTGTTTTGTGGGGATTTTATTAAATTAGTTGTGATTGATGAGAAAGTCATTATCCTATATGCATATGAGAGATACAACTTTCACCTCATGTCTCATACGAGATGGATGTTATTTGCTTTTATTCTACAAAGATTAAGCCCTTATGATAGCAAAATGACTACATGTTTTTAATAGCCCAGGAATCTCTTATGCTGCCTTAACTATTCAATGGCAAGAGAGAACAGATGACTTCTCCTACTGGCTCAGCTACAATGCCAGGGTGTTTTCCTAACTGTGCTGCACAGCTCTGACTGTATAACTTCTGCCTTGTATTAGTTTTTTTGTTGAGTGTCAGTGGGCAGAACTGAGCTTGCTTGTTCAGGAAGAGTTGGACCTCACAGATTTGTTAATTTGACATACCTGGCTTATTGACAGATATGGTATCTTCCTCTTTCCAGATCTGTTGTAAGAAAAAAAATAGAATTAAAAAATCAAATTCAGGAAGAAATAATTCTTGATTATTCTGATGCATTTCCAAAAGGGGCGGGGGAGATTGTGCTGTCTAATTCTAGTCAAATATGTAAGATATTGGGGAAATGAGAGACTGCTATTTTATTGAATGTTTTAATGACCTGGTCATTTTCACAGTAGCTATTAAGTCTAAAAGCTAGTCTACTCTGTCTCAATTTTCAGATCACAGTTGAGAGTATAACACTAGGACTTGGCTATTTGTGGGGACACCGCTCAATATGACTTCCAAACCTACAGCATATTGTTTAGGTCTTGACCAATGATGAGGAAACACATTCCACATCAGTGGTGGTAAACTGAGTGAGACACATCTGTGTCAGGGTCCCATAGTGTGTTTGATCTCATACTGTTGCTAGAACTTGAGGGGATTTTTTAAGAGCAGCTTTTTTTTCCCAGTTGCCCTCTTTCTTTTTTTTTTTGTCTTATTTGGAGAGACACTCCCAAGCCAGTTATCAAGTGGAAGGCTAATTTGTGTAACCTGAAAAACTACTTCTGTCAGGCCAGGTTGCTGTCCAAAAAGAAGTGAATTAGTGTTGCCTGTATTAGTAGGATCATACCAAGTGTCCTTCAGTAAATGAGCCAAAAATTAACAGTAGATGTTCCTTAATGTTTAACTATTTACAGCAAAAGCATTTTTTTACAGTCTTACAATGGCTAGGTGCACAGAAGAAGGTGAGATGGGAAGGTTTTCCAAATGAGAAAATTCTGTTAGAGGGCACTGAGTTGGCGGTGTCTTGATAAATAGCTGAGTAAATCTGGAGTCACTACCATAAGCAGTTGAGTAGCAAAGATACACGCGCATGCACCCTGCACGAGATATTCACAGTAACCTGTCCAGGGAAGTATATTATTTAAAAAAAAAAGGGGGGGTGGAGACAAGAAAAGACTGCTGCTTGGAACTTCCAGTCTTCTCTCTATCTTCACTTATGGATTTCTTCCTCTTCTGTTTCAGGGAACACTTGTGGGATGGACAAAAGGTTTCAAGGCAACAGACTGTGAGGGGGAAGATGTTGTTGATATGTTGCGAGAGGCCATCAGGAGAAGAAATGTGAGCTTTTTGGCTCTTTTTGGTGTATCTAATGCACACTTTACCTTCCTCTGGGACCCCACTACTGATTGTGACTTGTGTTTTAGGAATTTGACTTGGACATTGTAGCAGTGGTGAATGACACTGTTGGGACAATGATGACGTGCGGATATGAGGATCCAAACTGTGAGATTGGCCTTATTGCAGGTACAGTGATAACGAAGTGACCGCTGTAAGAAGAAAGCATATATGCAGGTGCTAGGCTTTGCACCCTATTTTGGAGTTTGTAAAACAACATCTTTTATTTGAGTTTGATAGATGGTGTACTACTCACTTGGAGTTCTTGGCAGATTTGTATGGTATTTAAAAGAGAACGTAATAGCACCTGTAGCAGTTAGGATCCTGAATCTTTTGGACTTTTGACCATATCTCTGATGGTGCCTAACAAGTCGGTGCCTGGTAAAAGAACATGGGAACAGTAGATATAGCATGAATCCTCATTTTAGCAAGTATATTGATAATTTACTGTGTAGCCAGGTCATAGGCCTTGGAACAAGAAGGTATTTTTTTTTAAATTGAATTCATTCTATTTAGGCTTTCTAGATGATTCCTCCAGTCCAGTAGATCCCTCCAAGTTTTCAGCCAGGAATACATATAGACATGTAGGATCTGAAGTCCCGGCTGGAAAATAGACTCTTCTGGCTGGCTAAGTGCACCAGCCATCTCATTTTGTTTGGAGAACTGGTCCTTATATTAGTTAATGCAACCCATGTTGCAAGTGATGAGGCCCTGTTCACCAAATCCTTTCAGACTTGGTAGCTGCTTGACTGGCTGCTAGGCTCTTGGCAGGGTTTGCTTTTGGGAGCATGCTGTCATGCGAGATGATTTGCGGTGCATTACAACCAGGCTGGCAGCAATGACCGATCAGTGCCTGCCAAGAGCTGCCAAAGCCATTTCTGACCTGTAACAGAGTCTTCATTCGTCTATGCTAGAAATATTTTGCACAGGACCCATATTACTTGGTAATGTTTTGTTGTGATAAATTACAGCACTCTTAGCATTGCTGGCTTGCACTTGCTTCTGTAAAATACAGAGAGATGTTTGAAATTTGGGATATGGAGAAGAGAGCTTTTAAGATGATCGCTGCAGTCATCTTCCATGTGTTTCAGCTGCTACTTCACTTTTCTGGCTGAAGCCTTGTCATTTCTTTCCTCCTAGGAACGGGCAGCAACGTGTGCTACATGGAGGACATGAAGAACATAGAAATAGTGGAAGGGAATGAAGGAAAAATGTGCATTAATACAGAATGGGGAGGATTTGGTGACAACGGCTGCATCGACAACATCAGAACAAAATATGATAAAGAAGTAGATGAAGGCTCACTAAACCCAGGGAAACAGAGGTAAATGTGATGGTTGTGATGCTAAGAGCCTGATTAAGTCAGCCTCGGAAGCAGGAAATGTTATTTTTATATTCCATTTGTTGCATGGTAAGTCATGCAGATATCCAGACAAAACCCAAAGATGTATGTTGTTTCTGTTACCACAGCGCTGTTTTCACCTCAGGGCAGTTACCAAACAGTGCAGGTCTTAAGATTTCCCTGCAAAGTGTAGGTCTTGCTGCTCTCCTCTTCTTGGAGTGTTTTTTTAAAGGTAAAGTACAACTTGTGCAAGAGGGTAAACTGAACTTGACCGTTCTTCGCTTGGTAAGGACAGCATTGATTACATATGACTCACTGGTGAATGTATGGGGTGGACAGGGAAATGTTTCACTTCAGTGTGGACTCTGGCTTTAACACTATCTTCTGTTTAATACTGCAAGGTTTTTTTTCTAGTTCTGTTTCCTTTTAACGTAGGTAAATATTTTGGAATTAACGTTTTGTGCTTGAAGCTGCTGCAACCGATTTCTGATGATTGAAAGATGGAGTTCAATGGCTATTGCTCTGCAAGCTTTTACCGCTTTTCTGAGGGTTGTTGTTGTTAAATAGAGGTAATATGCCATCTCTTTAAAAGCACACTTTTTTCTTTCGTGACCTAACAGGTATGAAAAAATGACTAGTGGAATGTACCTAGGTGAAATAGTAAGGCAAATTTTGATCGACTTAACCAAACAAGGACTGCTGTTCAGAGGACAGATTTCGGAATCACTCAGGAAAAGAGGCATATTCGAAACAAAATTCCTGTCTCAGATTGAGAGGTAAAGTTGTTAGATTTACATGCCTAAATCCTTAAGGTCTTCTGGGACCTGTAGAAAATAATCGTCTGCAAGTGTGTGAAGCCCTTTCCTTCAAAAAGTCAATTCTAGTTTTCTTCTTTGCACACCTTCCCCTCACCCCCATTTTCCCAGCCCCAGAATAAAAGCCAAAAATGAGGGGAGTTCCAGAATTATTCTGTAATTACATGAATTATCCTTTCCTCTCCACACAGCTGTGTTATCTTGGATGCCTTAACCATCAAGCATGTTTATACTTGGAATGTTTCTTGTAGGACTTAAAATAGTACTTATTTAAAAAAAAAAAAAAAGTAAGTCAGTGATATACAAATACCCCATGAATATGTGCTTACCTACATATCTGTGCATGATTGTGATGGTCTTCCAGGCTATTTGAAACCCTTTCTATTGTTGAAAACCTTGGAAGGTAGTGTCTCAGGCTTGAGATCAAAAATAACACAGTCAGGTGGCTGGTCTGGCTCGGCTCCCTCATGACTTTGGGAGTCAGATGAACAAGTACTGCTTGTGCCTTCTGGAAATACAGTCTAACGTAGCAAAGGGCACACCAGGAGCAAGTTTTCAATCTGAATTCAGACTGGAATCTGCCTTAAAACGATTGAAGAGTGTTAGGGTTGGAGAAGTGGTCCCATTTCCTTTGAATCGTGGCAGAGTCTCAGCTGTAAGACTTTCATTTTCATGCCTGCTGAAGCTTCCCCTAATGCCTTGCTGCTGCATGTGTTCCCTCTGCGCAGTGACCGGCTCGCTCTCCTCCAAGTCCGTCGAATTCTACAGCAGCTCGGCCTGGACAGCACGTGTGAAGACAGCATCATTGTGAAAGAGGTGTGTGGAGCTGTTTCAAAGAGAGCTGCCCAGCTCTGTGGGGCGGGACTGGCGGCTATTGTAGAGAAGAAGAGAGAAAACCGAGGTGTGGAGCACTTGCAAATCACCGTTGGCGTAGATGGGACTTTGTACAAGCTCCATCCACAGTGAGTACCTTGATACTGCTTCCCTTTGCTGTTTGCTCATTTCCACTGTGAAAACATACTGAGCTGTACCAGCTTTCTGCTGAGATGATAAAAAATGAGAAGGGATAAAGATCTTACATGTTTCCCTGCATCCTGTCTAGCCAAACCCTTACCTAGCCAAAGGTTCAAAAATTGCAAAGTCAAGTCCAGTTACCACTGGAAGGCTCTTTTCTCTGGGGTGTTGAGCGAACTTACTCTTCTAATATTTATTTTCTAATGTTTTGGGGAATTTCTCCAATACCTGGGTGTCTCAGATGGAAAGCTGTGTTGAGTTTTTGGAGTTGGGTCATTATTTTGTGAGCAAGCCCTAGAAGTAGATGCATTAGCTTTTGAGTTGGGAGAAGAGAGCCACCTCCATGATCTCTAAAGGCAAGGGGGGTGTCTGGCATCGTGCTGAACAACATTGAAGTGTAGAAATAGAAATTAAAATCTGATTGTGTACAGAAACTTGCCTCTTTTATGAACAGGAGGAAAAGCAAACAGAAAAGGGTGTTGTGAAGAACAAGTGGAAGATGTTCGCTGAGGTTATGGTTCCTTGCTAATAGATAAAGATCTCGGACCAGAAAGCAGCTGCTAAAATGTTCTGTTCTTCTCTCCCTTTCCTTTCAGTTTTTCTAGGGTCCTGCGGGAAACAGTGAAGGAACTGGCTCCTCAGTGTGATGTGACTTTCATGCTCTCTGAAGATGGAAGTGGGAAGGGAGCTGCGCTCATTACTGCAGTAGCAAAAAGATTGCATAACGTTGGACAGAAGTAAAAACGAGAGGTCAAGTCATGTCAGCACTGCCCCGCGTGTGCGCTAGAGATTTGCTGGGCGGTGATTCGAGATAGCTTTGCCAGACACCAGTACACAGGTACCTGTTTTCAGGGAGCAGCTGGGTTTTGACCGACCACGATCGTGGATCTTTGTCCTTTGATAACTCAGATCTGGTGTTTCTGCTCCCCACCAGCATTATATCTTGGCATACCGCGATCTACTCGGTTCTGTACTTCCTGCAATGCATCTATAATGTGCATGGGAGAGTGAAAACGAAACAAAAGACAAACCAAACAAAACAATCAACCCCAAATATGTCTTTTTACAATGGCTTAATTAAGCTACTGCACCACAACTGAATTTATCACCAGTTTCTTAGGATTTTTGCGTGTTTTAGTTTTGGCTTGGCCTTGCTCAAGGAATACTGAGATCCTGGTGTGGCACATATCTAATGGACATGTTTGTTCAATGCTTCACAGGTTTTACAATAAATCTGCAAGTAAAATAAATTCACAAGCTTTGGTCAGTGATGCTCCCCCACTACTGCTACACTGGTCGCAAGTGCACTGTCTTGTGAAACTCCCTGAGGACAGGAGGCATGTTTAATAGATGAATGTAAAGGAAAAAAAATACGATTCCACAAAATACCCATTTGTATCAAAATATATTAGTGCGTTTGGGTGGACATAAACCTAAACCAACGCTGGACGGATTCTGACTGTGGCTGATTCTTTTGATACTGGGGAAAGAGAGGATGTAGGAACAGGTACGGAGTCTGCTATGTCTATATCAGAGCTACCTAGAGAATATCAAATCTGTTCATCTTTAGGCTGCCAAAATAGCTGTGTAGAGAGGAAAAAAATAGTCACCTGAATTTCTGAAATTCTCCTCTTTGTTTTCTCTCAGTTATCTCCTGGCTTGTTCATGGGAGGATAGTTTCCATTTTGTGGAAGGGAGTTTATCCTTGTTTTTCATTTTCTGTTGCCTGCTGCTCTGCCTGCCTGTAGGCTGTTGTAAATAAATCTGTGGTGCTGTGAGCCTTAGCTTTTCTGTCTAGTGCCTCTTCTGAGTTGTGGGAAGAACGCGTAGACGAGTGGGAGCTTTCTTTAAAGCTATCTATAACACTACTCAGCAGCACCGCAGTTATGATGAAGGTGACTTTGTGGATAGGGCCTGTCAAACTGCAGCCAAATTTGCCTGTTTCTCAACACCGATAAAGCACCATCTTATTTGACAGTAGCATGCCCAAAGGCATGCAAACACTAGGAAAATAACCTGTGCCCTTCTGTGACCAAATATCCCTCACCTGATTTACCCACTTCAGAATCAACTGAAACAATAATATGGTGCAGAGAAGCAGCAAATCTGTAGCCTGCTCCTCTCTGTTCTCAAGTATTCCTGTATCTCCTTTAATCCTCTCCTCTTGGGTATTTGCTTCCTTTTAGGCTGGCAGCAGAAAGTGGTGCCAAGAAACGTGCTTTAAGCCTAGTTAGGTCAAAAGTAACTGTCGTGCAGGGGGATAAGCAGATGGGTTTATGTAATGATCTGTAACAATGCCGACAGGTTTAAATTTAGTAATGGCAAATTCAAAATTTGAAGGCACAGACCTTTCCTGTTTCATAGTTTTTAAAGGAAGCACGTCAACAGCTTTGTGTCGGAGTCACCAAATGGATAAAAAATATTATTGGGAAATAATTTTCACTTCTGAAGGAATTCCTCATGGTGCTGAGCTCACTATACTGAGCAATTGGGAAGAAACAAGTTGTGAACTCATATTACGTTTAATGTTTCCCACCTTTTGTCAAGAAACTTAATATTTTACTTTGTCTTTATGTTTCAGAATCCACAGAGCTACAGAAACCAAAGCTTGCTATGTAGTGGGGGCAGGGTTATTTTGAACAGATTTTTTTCCTGGTGATGAACAGGCTAAATGTGGAGGGGCTGGGTATAGAAGAAAAAACCATCAGTGCTTGGGGCTATGTGAGGCCTAGAAATAGCCTAGCATAGCTCTGCTGCATTGGCTGTTTCTCCCCTCGGCACTCTGAAATCTTGTACTATCTTGTGCACTTTCGGGTCCTTTTGGGGGAGTGGATTGTGCTAATTTGCAAAAAGTGCATCTGTGAATGAAGTATGCCCCTGTATAGCTGGAATGAGGCGATGTGGACTTGCCCCAGGATGGCCACGTGAGTATGGTGCAGGGTATCTTCTGTACTTTTATTCTAGAGTCTGTTCTGCGCAATTGGAATGCAAATAGGTTAACAGAACAAGGTAAACCCCTTGCATGGATCCTTGCTTTAAATCTGGAAAGAAATCCTATATTGCTTTGAGTTTTCTTTTTAGTCTTCTTTGGAAATTAAATATTCATAGTTTACACCTCAGCTGCAGTTATTCCTTTTCTGCAGTAGATTAGGCCCACACAAGAACTTTTTTTGCATCTTCAGTTTTTTTTCCAGTGAGTCTGTGGGTGTTGTGGAATCCAATCACATGAACCTGAAACTGCTCACAAAGTGCTTGGTGACCTACAGCTCTTGTCGAGGTCCCTAAGGCCCAGGACACGCACGCTCTTGCCTTTTCCGCAGGCTGCTGGCTTGCTCTGAAGCCAGGCAGCTCCCACATGGCTCTGATACGCATCTGCTGGGCAGGGAGATGGCTTCCAAGCTGGGGAGGCTGCTGCTTTCTGAAGGGGAATGAGCAAAGATTCGCTGGGCAGCCCTGAAAAAGGGAAGGATTGGCTACTGTGGGATTTTACCGGGGCTACAAACTTCGCTTGTAGTTTCCCGGGGATCCCATAAACACACTGATGCTTCGGCGGACTCCAAAACAGAACGTTCTGCACCTGGGTAACGATGCATCATCATGTTCCTGATTGTGTCGACACGTGGAAACTCAAGGACTGTTGCAAACTTGCAGTCTCCCTTGTGTGTAGAATTTAAGCCGCTGCACCAAAACCCCTCTCTGCACATCGTATGTGGTGATTCGGTTTAAAGCCCGAGCTTAAAATAAAAGTAGAGGCCTTCCATTAAATGTAACACAGCATACCATACGCTGAAAAATACGTAGTACGATTCATCGCATGAAATTATTAGTTGATTTAAAATAAAATGAGATTCTTCCAGTTTCACATCTGAGATGTGTTTTTCTACTGCTTTTTGGGTAGCTTTGTGGTGCTTCATTTCTGTGTGTTCTGTGGGTCTTCCCTCCAGTCAATATGTTTAGTACTACTTGAATTTACTGATCTTGTTTTGATGCTTCTTGAAGACGTGAACATCCTTTTTCAGATCTGGGTCATACATTTGATTTGGAAAGTTGAAAGATCTTTTAAGTCTCATAGGTGTGATAGAAGTGTTACCGGGTAGAGGCACTAAGGTTTGTGCTTTGTACCCTTTCATCCGCAGGGAGAAGATGATCCGCAATATGTTGGTTTGCCTGCTAGAGAGACATTTTGGTGGCTATAGATTTGGACAGCGCTGCTGCTTGACTCGTAATCCAGAGAAAATGCAGTAGCGGCTCGGTGGTGACACGTTCCCTTTGTTGCTCTGACAAAGTTCAAAAGTAAATATAGGATCATGTGCAAATCCTTCAGAAATCCTGATTAGCATAATACCCCTCCTTGGGAAGTCAATATTATATAGGATTAGCAGATTAGCGTAAAGGAGTTTGAGGCTGAAATGTAGGTAATACCGAAATGAAAGTATTGTTGTGATTTGTTTCTTTGCGTTTGGTGAAACGGGCTGGCTTTTGTTTGGGGGTCTCGGATGCAACGTCACCGTAGCAGTAGGTGGAGAGGGAGGGAGGCAGGGAGCCGGGAGGACTCGGTGGATGTTGTCCAGCTGTAGGTAAACTTGCAGCTTCTCTAGAAAGGACCTCCACTGCCTTGGACTGTCATCGAGGGCTTGTCCAGAGCATTTCTCAGAATTGTCAAGTAATTTTTATTTTGTTTTTACTATTTTATTTTTTAAAATAATAATAAAAAACCACTAATCCTGTACATGGGTATGGATGGCCTGTTGGGGTGAGGCTGGGAAGGGAAATCAGATGTCTGCTTTGTCCCAGCACTGCATCCGCTCTGTGAAGCTGATGTAAAGCAAGACATAAAACCACCAAGTTTAATTAATGTTTTCCCCTCTCTCATTGATACTATCGCATTGCAGGTGCACACTGAAGGTGCTGTAAACGTGATGGATCACGTCTGTCCGAGAGGGGAGTGCCAAAATGATTTTGATCTCGTTGTGTGCTTTTTAACTTTCTCCAGATGCCAGCCCCTTCCCTACCCAGCCTTACGCTTCGTCTGCACTCCGTGTCCGAGGGCCTCGCGCAGCCCGAGCACCTCTAGAGATAGTAAAAGCTGCGTGCTATAAAGAGAGAACAGATTTGGGTAAGAAACCTGGTAAACATGGGTTCCTCCAGAAAACCCTTGCCACTGGCAAAAGGAATTGGCTACAGGAAAATGGACAAAGGGCTGCGGGCTGGAGGTCTCCTGTGGGGGAGTTGAAGACCCAAATGTTGGGGAACCTCAGCAAGCAGGAGCTTGCTGGAAGGAGTGAAAGAAGGTACTTTCACCCTTGATCTTTCCTGAGTGGTTACTAAAAAAAATCCAAAAAAAAGCCCCAAAAAATCTCCACACCCAAAGTTCTTATTTTTATTTAGAAAAGTGTAAGTTAAAACCAAACAAAAACCAAACCAAAGCTATATTAAAAAAAAAAAAGATGGGGAGACTGAGACTATTTCACTGCCACTATATTTTCTTTCCTCCTTTTTTTGGGAAGGATAAAGGCTGTTTGGAGAAGGGGGGAGAGATGTGCGACAAGTATGGCATGTCACCAGTCAAAGCTTCCCCACAAATTTGTTACTGCATATCAGAACAACTTTAAAGTCAGTCGTAATAGTGGGGGAAAGGGACGACAGCAATGCAAGGTGTTGTATATCACAAAGCAGTGAATTACAAGGACTATTTGAGGATGTAACTGAGTTAACTGGTTCATTTTTTATTTTTCTGTGGGCAGGATAAAAGGGGAGGGAGGCAATGGGGTTGCCACCTTGCTGGCATCCATTTTCTTTGGAGTCGGAGGTGAAGACGTAGCTCCCAGCCTCCGGCACTTCAGACATACCAGGGTTCAGTTCTCAAAACCACCCGTGTTGTTGATTCACCTTACTTTCCTGGAGGGCTCTTTTCGTTGTTCTTAATTTTGCTGCTTGCTGTTTGGGCGTTCAGCTTGCCAAAGGTTTCTGTGCACCTGGGAAGTCCCCATTCCCGGCCGGCTTGGCCGGTGCCAAATCACACCGTGATGCTGGGCCATCTGTTTAGCTGTGGGACTGGGACAGCAGCCTGCGAGGCTGTTGTAGAGGACTGTCCTCATTCTTGCAGGCTGCGTCCCCTCCTGGGAGCGAAAAAAGGCTGTCCTCTGCTGCCACAGGGAGTTGGAGAGCGGGGAGATGTGGAGGGGATGAGACCCGTGGGGCTGAATTCAGCACAGGCTCAGCGGGGGGGTGGGGAAGGCACCTTATGGGGCGAGCTGGGATCCCGGGGCAGCAGCCATCTCTGGCTGTGGCTTCGTGACAGTATAAATAAAGCACGGTTAGGATGCCGAGAGCGGTTATTGGAATGTAAGCGGTTAATGGAGCAGATTAGCTGGTGATGGACAACTTGGTCATAGAGGGGAGCTCTCTGCAGGAGGAGAAAATGGATGGCGGAAGGGCACGGAGGGAAAGTCTGTGAGGGTCTGAGCAGGTAAACAAGGAAGATGCTTTCCCAGCAGGCGCGTCCTGAATA